ATATATTAATGTTTTTAAGGCTCAAACCGATAACATCATTAATAACTTAAGTTCTCAGTTTTGTTTTGTTTTTTTCAACCTTTTATTGAGACCGTCAAATTGATAAATTACAGTAAAGACATTTATAATTGCATGCTGTTCATTTGAATTTCTATTCTTCAAAGTATCCTGAAAAAAAAGTTTGATCTGTTTCATGGATCATGCGATACTAAAAACTGGAGTAATCACTGCTGAAAATCACAGGAATATTTTTTTTATATATTAAATAATAATAATAATAATTTTAAATTGCAATAACATTTGACAGTATCACTGTTTTTGCTGTATTTTTAACAAATAAATGCAGCCTTGGTGAGAATAAGAGACTACTTATTTATTAGTTTTTTAATCTTGTACATGTTCACATAAATAAATAAAATTAAAACAATGTCATTAATTTCATTGTAATTAGACAAATTAAATAAATACATAAACATTGTATAAGAAACATTGCAATATATTAAATTCAATATCTCCGGGAAGTGCTCTTGCAAAAAAAATTCAGACTGAGGGAAGCACTCTCACGCTGTCTGACGAAAGACGCCGCCCTCATGCCGTCTCCCGACAGTCCAGAAGGTGGAAAGGATTTGTGAATCCTGGGAAGATTAAGTGTACAGCTTAGTGCTGTGTGACCGCTAGTTTATACTTTTTAAAATTCTTCCTCTCCATTTCTCCCTCCCTCTCTCTTCCAATCCCTATGTGCCACTTCTTTCGCTGTCCAGGTAGACAACAGTAAGCTCACGGTCGGGCGGAGCCTGAGGCGAGCGAGCGCTCCGATTGGTTGCCGCGTTGCATTTCACCGCGTCATGTGGGCAGGATGGATGTGAAAGAACGCAGGCCGTACTGCTCACTGACCAAGAGCAGGAGAGAGAAAGAGCGCCGCTACACGGGCTCATCCGGCGACAGCGAGGACTGCCGCGTGCCCACCCAGAAGTCCTACAGCTCCAGCGAGACGCTCAAGGCCTTCGATCACGACTCCTCACGCCTGCTCTACGGCGGCCACGTCAAAGAGATGGTCCACCGAGAGGCAGACGAGTACAGCCGCCAAGGTGAGTCACCTGCACCTGTCATACCTCAGACATCCATTATGACTTCATCCAGTATTGAGGTCACATCATACTGCTATAACATATGTCTAGAAATACGACAAGAATGCGCTTTTGGACGGATCGCATTCAAATAATAATATATGGGATGTACGACCATAATTACACATAATTAGAGGAAATTAAGTTTGGTTTGGCACGACTGAACGCTTTCTCTGAGAAAACATTTACTTACTTTTGATTGAAAAATGAAGCAGATTCAAAACAGATTAGACAGATTTACGCACACAAACTTGCTCTGATACTTGTCGACTAGTCGACAGAGTGAAGAAATAAAACATTTCCTCTGATTAGCGCAATCCAAACCCCTCGACCCAGCCTCTCATTTTCAGACCCGAAGTTTCCCTTATAACATATGCCCATGTGTCCCATTGGCAATAATGAATGGCACCATAAAAAACATAAACAGCATTATTGCGCTGTTCTAAAGTTTGCAATGTGCCCTGCTCGGCAACAGTTTTATTACTAATTACGAGCACAGAGGGTCCGCAAGCATTCGCACAGCCGTGTTTTTATAAACTCGCTCACATTCATTGAGTTCTTTGTTGTTTTCTTTTTGTTCTTCTGCATGTAAGGCTTCATCAAAATACGCACCGGTAAAGGTGAGTTTTTTTCGCTGTGGATTTAGCACAAATGTAGATTTGGGTCAAATGTTTTCTCCCTAGGTGTCGTGCTTGTCTGTGTTGCGATAGAGGTTTGCGTTGCGTGTTTGTGTGCCCTTAACGTTAGTGTTGTGTTAAACTGAAGGTCAGCCTAGCTGTTATCAGTCACTGGAGTGCTAGAGGCTCTGTCTGTTGAGTGTGTTTATTTTAGAAAGCACAGGAAGTGACACCAGATTACAGCAGGGGTAAAGGAGCAGCCTGCCTCCAACCATTATGCAGGGTAGCCCACTCTATCACAGAGAGAGAGAGAGAGAGAGAGAGCAGAGGCGCTTACAGATGTAGTGCAGACACCGTTGAGCTCTTGAGAGACTGCACTTCGGCCTCAACACGGTCTTCAACACTCTCGCCATAATCACCCTGCCGCAGACGTCACCTAACCCAGTCTCAAGCCCTAACCTTGGCACGCAACCATGTTCATCATGAAACTAATTCCTCCCGTGTGATATATTTTTAGCCTTTAGACCGTTGCAAACAGCGATACCTAGATAATTAATTTGCGGAGTAGAAAGGACCAGGCAGGCGAACTGAAATTGTTAATTAGCCATTACACAACAATGGCAGATTGGAATTACTGAGATCTGAAATAATGTAGCCATGCTGCGAAGTGCTGCCGTTCAGTTCCATTACAAAGTTCCATAAAGGTCATTACCAGTTCATTGATTGCTTTCAAACTCAAATTAACACTTCATAAATATTTGAGCAGAAAAGCCATAATTGCTCAATTATCTTATCCTGTACAATTTCATCTACACTAATTGGTAATTTGGAATTTATATGATTTTAATTGAACTTCGGTCGGAGCCCGATTATTTCTGTAGTTAATAGCCCTTATTAATTCCTGTTAATGCAGGGGATCAATGCTTTTCTTTTTAATTTCTTTCCTTTTTTATCGTCAAGCTAATAAAATATGCAGCTTTTTGCTGTGATTGTTTTAACATGAAATTCTGTGGATTCAAATAATTAGTCACTTACATGTGAAAACTTTATTCGTTTTTTTTTTTTACATTATTAGGTATATTTAGTAAACTACTTTAGAATTATTTTCATCTATTGCAAGGTAGATATGATTTATTTGATTAATCATTACTAATTTAATTGATTTGATTTAGTTGATTTTTGATGCATTTAAATGCATTTAAAAACATTTTGAAATCATTTGTTACGCTGCGTCATTTGAAGAGTCGTAACCATTAAAACTTACGAGGATCTGCTTGCAAACGACTAAATAAATGATCCGTTTAAAGACCAATATATTTCCGCAATATATATGGTCCTCAGTAAATGTGAAGCCGCATTGCGGTTTTTCAGGCCTCAGTGTTTTTGGAGCCGCGCACACCTATCACCATGGCAGATAAGCTCCCTCCATGGAATGCAGTCTGCTCCACAGACTAATTCTACAGAATACAGAGTTTGGAAATTATTGGATCCAGACAAAAAGAACGGGAAATGAATTATAAGTCCGAGCGGCTGCTAAGTTGAAAGTCCTTTACATTGTCTAATGTGAAGATACATTTTAAAGTTTGGATTTAATGAACTGTAAAATAATGTTTATATAAATATAATAATGTTTGTTTGTTTGTTTTTTGCATTGATTGATTTGTGTAAAGTTTTATTTGTTAGGCCGTTTTTTTATTTTTTTTTTTATTTGGTAACACTTTATTTTAAGGTGCCCTTGTTACACATGTTACATGTACTTACTATTATAATAACAATAAATTATGCATAATTACATGCAAGTAATTCTAAGACAAACCCTAACCATATAGTAAGTACATGTATCATCATCCAGATTTAAAGTGCTAAATGTACCAGTCTGACTACTAACACACCAAGGCACGATGAAGATATCTTCTAGTCTATACCACTTTTTCCTTTACAGTCTGTCTGTATGTCTGTGTGTGTGTGTGTGTGTGTGTGTGTGTGTGTTTGTGTGTGTTTCTGCTCGTCTGAAACGGCACCTATTCACAAAATTCAAGCTCAATCATTTCACTGCTAAAGTAATTTGATTTTAATTACAAAATTATCTAATGATTAGACAACTGAAGACTGCAGCATGCTAGAGCTTAATTATTTATTTTTGATTCTATCACCTTCACTGTGCAAACTAAGTCTTACAATAAATAATATGACAGTTTTGATTACAGAAAATCAGATATAAATTGTGATTCTGGCTGTGCCGGCTTGACACAGATATAAATAATCCTTCATTTCAGTAGCAGTTTTCCCTCAGTTTGAGACTTTGCACAGCCCAAGAGACTGCAGTCAGTTCATTAAAACATTTTTAAAGAGTGTGTAAACGGCTGTTTAGACATGTTGCTGCGGTGTTCCCTCTCACAGCTAATTGCTGCCGTTTATCTGCATCCTTCCAAAAATACATGTTGAAGGTGCACAGAGAAAACATCATCAGTCTCACTGTGAAAGATATTTTTCAAGCTTATTTTCAAGCTCACTTAGCACAACTAGGGCTGCCAGGGAACATGCGTGATGCTACAGGATAACAATTAGTCAAGTGACTGCCCACCGTTCTCAGCGAAAATACTTGAGTTTGTATCTGCATTTGAAAAAATAAATAAATAAAAACATAGAAGTAGAAATTAATATCTGAAAGTGCTACGCTAGTACGCTTGTCTCAATTTAAGTTTTTATTTTTTTGTCTTGTTTCCTTTGAGATTTTACTTGCCCACATTTTTGTCCTCTTTGAAATTCTTTCTTTCTTATATTTCTATTTTTTCCCCTCTTTTCTGTTTTGTCACTAGGTGAGCTGGAATACACATCAGAGTCCTTCAGCAAAGAGAGATATTCTGGTAACTTGGGTTTATAATTGTAGTTCCAAAAACCGATCAGGACTCACATGTGCAGTGTATTGTGGGTGTTCGGGGAACAGACTGCTAAGTCTGTGGATATTTGACTGTCTGATGAGACTTGATAGTCTCGCTGTTCCACACATGGGGTGTTAGTTTGCCTTCCGTATAGTGTGTGTGTGAGTTGTTTACAGAAGCTTTCCTTTCTGTCTGGCTTTTGGGTCAGTTGATACAATCTCCCATGGCAAAAAAAAAGAGAGAACAAATAAAAAAAGATAGATTGCGGTATCAATTTACAGCTTTATTTTTCTTTTCTCTTCCCGTTTCTTTGAAGCCATGGATCTTTTCATTGCTCGACACTCTCCAAATGGCTCCCCAGATGCCAGCAAGGCCCATTTACCTGTCAGCTTGTGTTTTACCAACACTCTATGGGCTCTTCCCACCCCAAAGAATAGGCCAACAAAGCATACCTGAACTCCCCCCCTCCACACACACACATGTGAAAGAGACCACTCTGTACTCACAATGAGAACCACTTACCATGACGTCCAGCCTGCGAGTGATATTGAGCCCTTTTAGGCTTTCCCAAGTCCCTCCAGTGAGAGAAAAACACACTTTTCTCATGCTCATATACCTAATGGTGGTCTATGGCTGTGTGCGTGTGTGTGCGCGTGTGTGTTAGAAAGGAGTTTCTAGCATCCAGGGAATTAGAGAATTCTAGTTTATTTGTCATTCTCTTGATACTATAAGTGCACATGGCAGAAATAATCGCAGAAAACAGCAGTCAGACTTCAAAATAGAACATTAAATAGGCTCTTTTTAGTGTCTCTTTGATTGAGTGTTTCCTCTGCTTAACTAGGGCATGTGGAATGTGTCTTACTGTGTTTGAAACGGTTGCTGCATTATAACTGTGTGTGTGTGTGTGTGTGTTGTCTTTGTAGCATTGTGTTTAATTACAATTGTGTATAGGTAATACAGATTAATATGAATAGACAGGGTGCAAAAGCTATGTTTTTCATTATTATTATTATTTCTTTTTATATAATTTTGTTTTTATGTATTATTCATTTTCATATACACCCACTACCATTCAAAAGTCTGAGGTCAGTAAGATTATTTAATTTTTTTAAAAGAAGTCTCTTATGCTCACAATTGCTGCATTTATTTACATTTATCAGAAAAAAAAAATTGTGAAGCAAAATTAAAATTTTAATTAACTTTTCTATTTTAATTGTAATATTTTAAACGAAATAATTATTGTGATGGCAAAGCTGAATTTTTAGCAGCCATTACTCCAGTCTTCAGAAATCATTTGAATATGCAGATTTGGTGTTTAAGAAACATTTTAAATATTTTTGAGTTTAAAAGTAAAGCATTTATTTGAAATACATTTCAACATAACATTATAAATGTCACTTTTGATCAGTGTAATGAATCCTTGCTGAATAACTGTATTGTAATAAATGAATAAAATGTAAATGTAAATAATATATTTCTTACTCCAAACTTTTGAATGGAAGTATGAGTGTGTGTGTGTGTGTGTGTGTGTGTGTGTGTCTATCCATATATTTCTAGGGTTTGAAAGAATTGAACAATATATATAAAAATGGTAAAAGATGTAACATAGACACTGATATTTTCTTTTTTCTTTAATTTGCTTTGCTTACATGTGAAATACAAGCAAAGTAACTCTCACTCGATCATAGCAATTAAAACTCACATGCGTTTGATTCTTAAAAACGGTACAGTTCAATTGCTGAATAACTCTATTTTATGTACTCACCAATGCCAGTTTGTATTTACATTTGGCACCTGTAGATTGTAGATTGTATTGGACCATGTATATAGATATTTGCTGAATTAGTTTGTTGCATTTCTTTTACAGGCCAGAACTTTAACCTGAGGCAGCTGGGAATATGTGAACCAGCCACACGCCGTGGCTTGGCCTTCTGCGCAGAGATGGGCCTCCCCCACCGCGGCTACTCCGTTGGCGCAGGCTCAGACATGGACACTGAGAACGAGGGGGTGATGTCACCGGAACGTGCCATGCGCCTCTGGGGCAGGGGTGTGAAGTCTGGCCGCAACTCCTGCTTGTCCAGCCGCTCGAACTCAGCCCTGACCCTGACCGACACAGAGCACGAGAACAAATCAGACAGTGAGAACGGTAAGTGGAGCCACGCTAGGGCCACATTCAGCCTTTTAGTCTTTTAGTTCAGCTACCTCGAACTGAAAAAACAAAAAACTTAAAATCCTTAAGCTGATAGCTGTGTTTTGGAACATGGTTACTGGATTCTAGCTGGTCTGAGATGGTCATTATCCATTTTGGACCAACAACAAACAAACTTCCAGTGAAGCTTAAGGTGCTCAAGCTGTTTTTGGGAAATTGTGGGTGTTCAAAAAAACAGTTTGAACTGCCTAGAAATCAGCTACCATGTTCTAAATCTTAAGATGGATTTTCCAACATAGAGGATCCTATGAAAGGAATTACTATGCACATCTCTCTTGCACAATATTACCATTATCACACTCTTTTGACTTTTATCACGACTGGCCTGAGAGTCAATAACTAGCAGAATTAAGTCAATACATCCGCATGCACTCTTTCTCTTTATACCCGTACTACTGCTTCCGCGGCCCTGAGGGGACCCTCCAGCGGCCCAATCAAAGGTCTGTCTTTGTGTCGGATGCTAGGAGACCTTACCTAGCCATCGTTGGAATGCTCCACTCGCATGAGCGAACACACACAATGGCTGGTTAACAGGCCCCAGCGGTTTGAAGTGCAAATTTGATCATGCTTGAAACCTGGAGAAGTGATGGAAGCGACGATCTCTCTCTCCCTCTCTCTCTCTCTCTCTCTCTCTCTCTCTCTCTCTCTCTCTCTCTCCCTCGCTCTCCCTCTCTCTCTCCTTCTTTTACTTTGGTGCTGTCGTTCATTCCCACAAAGCAGCTGTGATGGTTCAAAGAATACTCAGGTGACAGGCTTCCTCTGGGCCCCACCGCCACACTTCCGCTGCCACTCTCCCAGAGCGGGGCCTCTGCAGGGGGGAGATGTCATCACGCCCTCACATGCTTTTTTGATTATATTTTTATTCACACTAAAATCCCTCAGATTTGTTTCTTGTTGTTCTTTTCAGGTGCAATTGAGAATGAAATGGGTCCCCCCCCCCCCCCCTTTTTTTTTCTTTTTTTTTTTTTTCACGCCCTCACATGCTTTTTTGATTATATTTTTATTCACACTAAAATCCCTCAGATTTGTTTCTTGTTGTTCTTTTCAGGTGCAATTGAGAATGAAATGGGTCCCCCCCCCCCCTTTTCTCTCTACTTTTTTTTTTCATGAAATGAATTGAGAATTAAAGCTGCTGACAATGAGCTAAAGGACAGCCATTTTGAAAGAAAGAGGGAAAATGAAGCAAATGAAGAGCTGAATAATTGGTTATCTTCCCTGCACACACACTCTCCTGTCACTTATTCTCATTTATTAATATTCCTTAGACTAACAGGTGTTGTATGCAAATAACCTTTAAGAAGACCTTATCTAATCACTTTCATTAACACCTTTTGGCTTAATTAAGGAAAGCAAAGTGCTGAGTGTGGAGGATTGCTATATTTGCTTTTCATTATGAGATGAATGTGTGGGGTGACTCTCATATCTCTGATGACCAGAGCAATGAACGCACTGATCCTTAGGGAGCATATTCTGCGTATTCTTTATTTACTTTACTTAATGTAGTTAATATTTGTGAAAGAAGCTGTATGTGTGTGTATCTCAGATTGATATAAAACATTTTAAAAATAAGAGAAGAAAGTCAACTCTAGTTGTTTCTGAGAGTTTAATGTTAGCATTTTTCTAAGTTAAACATGCCATACTCTAATCCAATGGTTCTCAAACAGGGTTTTTTTTCAAGACTGTGGGAATCATCCAAGATGCACCTCAAAATGATTGATTTAATATATGATAAATGACTAAACATACAATTTAATTTAATTTATATATATATAAATTAAAATTATATATATACATTTTTTAATATATCCATTTTATTTTAATAAATTTTGTCTTTGAAAAAAAACTGAATTCCTTGAAAAACAGGATATAGTCAAGTCAAGTCAAGTCTGCTTTATTGTCAATTCTTCCACATGTACAGCACATACACACAGAGAATTGAAATTGCGTTACTCTCAGACCCTTGGGTGCATACAGATAACATAAATACAGATTAAATACAAAATACAACTATAACAAAATACAACTATATATTGAATGAGGAAGCTTCATTTTAGAAGTATGATTTGAAATCATATAAAGTAATATTATTAAGTATTAATAATACACAATAATTGTATAACTCCATGGGCATTTTTATAATAAATATAATTTTTATATATTAAATGTATTATTATATTATATTATTAAATCATGAACCACTGCTTTAACTGTTACTTTAATTCCCTAATAAAAAAATATTGGATAAAAAAAACTAACTTTTTTAATTTCAGTATTTTATCTTTTATTATTATTGCATGAAATATGAACTAGATTATTATTGTTACAATAAAATATAGACTTATTTATGATCAACATTTATCCCAACTTGTCCACCATCTTGGATTTGTTTTTTCACTGAGCTCGTCTTCACTGTGAAGGATACCTATGAAATATAATCTTGTATTATGCAGTATAATTAAGTTCTAACAGTCATCTTTTGTAACAGCCTATGATGTTTTAAAATGCCTTCTCTGCCTTCTCGCGATTGTTTTTAATTTTTTTTTGCACAAGTGTTAACATGTAACATAAGTGCGTGTGGGTTTTTTCCTAATTGTCTCATTGAATTGTGGCATATGCTGCAGTTGCTGGGGCTTATGTCCTAACAAGAGACAGCTGCAGACAGTGTTAGTGAGTCCATGAGGAGAAAATAAAAAGAACATTTTCTTTCTTTCCTTGGTTTGTTTCGCTTCTCTGCATTACACGATCTTTGGTATTAACTTCAGCTACCATTTCCCTCCAAGTCGTGCCTCTTGACATGAATGTTGAAAAAAGCTTTCTCCAGCCATACCAAAAGATTTCCTGTTTACATGTGCCTGGCGTCACCATGGAAGAAAGTGTGTCCAAATGATTGACACACTGTTTGGCTTTTTCGGCCTCTTTCCCTGACTCCCCTCTCTACCGAATTCAAGATGGAGTCAGTTGTAGCTTTCAAGATTTTTCTGCTTGTCGCCTCAGAGCTTGATTGTGTTTGTGCGGATAGGCCGTCGGCCCTCGCGACACTGCCTTTTGACTTCAAACGCAATGGAGGTTAATTCCATTTGGGGAAAAAGCGGGATTTGTCAACCCGAAGCTGAGAGTGGAAGTGAAAGAGGTGTGTGTAGCGCTGTCAGACACGGTTCTAATGAAAGGATCTCAATTCTGGTCCCACATTTCCAAGTTCACCCTTAAACTCTATTAGAGAGTACCGGAGAGAGACGCTCACACAGAGACACTCTCGGCTCGGCATAGAGTGCAGTCGCAATGCCTGCTCTCGCTCTTTGGACTTAATATCCTGTAATGGAGAAGGGGTCGGGAGAAACACCTGAGCACAATGTGTTGCAGCAGAGAAGAAGGGAGAGGGAGAAAGGAAAGGAGAGGGTGAGTGAAAGATGGCCGCTAACAAAGGAGAGATATTTTGTCCTCCGTCTCCAGGGGACATTTGAGCCAGGGATGCGCTTCACCGCATGCCCACCCGTGTCTCCCTCTTCCTGGGTCACTGGACACCTGCTCACTCCCCCGGAGGGAGCGAATGAAAAGAGTGGGAAAGACACACACACACACACACACACACACAAACAAACAATTTTCACACTAGAGCAAAGACAATTATAATTTTTCTTTCTTTCTTTCATGCTTTCTTTCTTTCTTTCTTTTTCTTTCTTTATTTCTTGAATTTATGAAGTTACATGTATGCATGTATGAAGACAATAACAATATATTTTATTTATTTATTTGTTTATGTTTTTAAAAATGTTCACCAAAGCTTAATTTATTTGTTTGAAAATACAGTATAAACAAATTGTGAAATATTACTATAATTTAATATTCTAGTAAATCAATTTTGCGATAGATAGATAGATAGATAGATAGATAGATTAGTTAATTATGATCAATTTAATGCACCCTTGCTCATTAAAAGTTATAATTTCTTACATTTCTTAATTTATTACATACATACATATAATTCTTCTTTTATGTGTCCTGTAATCAAAAACTGGAAAAATCACTTTCAAGCCAGAAATTTTGTTTTTGTATTCTGCATAATCATGATTTCTATTTAGATAATCAACTTTTCTTTAGATACAGCAGAAAATTATGTGCCGCCTCTGTCATTTGCAGCCATCTTGCCATCATTTGACACCTGCTCCTCTGTCTGGATCTGTTTTTGATTTTGAGCTTGTTTGAAGCTCCTCTGTCTCTCTCTCTCTCTCTCTCTCTCTCTCTCTCTCTCTC